ATTGTGGTTCCTTGAGCAGCAAGGCAATTATTTTGCAAATTAACAAGAAGTTTCAACAAGTTTCGGCAAGTTAGTACCTACTACCCTCTGTTCGTTGTGAATGGTAATGGATGGCTCTTCACATTGGTTTTTTTTATAGAGGTTCTGTTATCATCATTAAAACACTAAAACTATGTAAGCGGTGTAACTATGTAGGCTGGTTCGAGTGCAGCTGCGGGAAAGATTGAAGCAATACTGCAGTAGGAAAGGGACTCTAATAAGGTGAATTTTGCTACACTATCCTACTTACACAGTCAATTACTGATACTTGAGTCATTTACCTGATGCAAGAGGGACTTTTGTATGTCGATGAAACAGGTGCAGTCAATCCACTAATGCAAGAGGGACTTCTGTTTGGCAGACATGTTCCACCCATCCGGGTATGTTCCATTAATAATTATAAGCAACATATATAAATGCAAGAGCTCTGATGCTGTTATCTAGAAATACTATAAGCTTTGTTCTTCAATGAATGTGGTAATCTTTGTTCTCCAAATCCAAATCCATAAAAAAAAAAAAAACAGAAAGCTAAACAAGCATAGATAGATGCCAACTTCATGCTTAGTTGATGATGTTCTTTCCCCTGGAATTATCTCTAGTCTGTCTCCTCGTCTGTAACAACAAACACAAAATATATAATCACACAGTTAAGCCATATATTATTTATACTTGAACATATGATGTTGCGTCACGTACCTGTGGAGGCTCATCAGTTGGAGGTTGCACACAAGTTTGTGCACGTTGACTGGGTTCTCCACGCTCTCTGTTACCTTTAGTAGCACTTCTAGTACGTGGCATGGTCTGTTACAAAAAAAGGTCCACACTTGTCACTACACTAATTCAGAATGAATAGGTCGAGACATTAAGAAACTGGATACTGTCATTCCACTGACCTTTGGGGGGCAGCTACCTTCTTCATCAATTTTGTCATCATTTTCTTCTTCATTTGTAGCTACTTTCCTCTGCTGTCATATAAAATGTTAGTGTTGTTAGAATAAAAATAGAAGATGAATTTAATTTGTTTCATAGGTAGTGTTGTTCACAACTAATACCTTCCCAGGTCCGTCTCGTGAACCATCAACAACCCCATCGTTCTGTTCACCATTACTGTTTTTGGACTGACCTTCAGTCTGCTTGGTACTACTCCTAGTCTTCCGCCGCTTCAGCAAAATGAAAGAAACTAGTGTTAAAATCAGAAACTATAGATTCATTATACAAAGATATCATAAACCATGGAAATAAACACACTGTACGATTCAGAAATTCACAGAATTAGCCTATTTAATTCACCTGCCGTGGTGGGCTGTTTGGACCATTCTTATCTGAATAATCTGGTTCCTCGTTTCCATCATCATTTTCCTCATCTGACCCCGGTGATTTAGGACGTACATATCCCACAGGCTTATCACATGTGCTTCTATAATGCCTTTCATCTCCACATCGACCACACTTCCGAGGCTTCTTGTCCGACTTCTTCTGTTTTCCAGTTTTACCACCTTTATATGCTACCTTCATTGGGTTTTTTACAGCTTTGTATTCTTCTGGTATCTCTATTGTCGACCTCTCAGTAGTACCAGTTTGCATGTTGTTCAACTGGTCACATGCAGTTGCCATTAACTTGTTTGCAAACTGAAAAGTATCCACTGTAGTTGCCCCTAGGAAGCAAAACCGCGATGCTGAAAATTGCAGCAGCCCATACCTAACGTTAAATGGCCAAGGGTCATTGATATCCAGTGGTTGTTGCTTAACTTCTATAGTCTTAGGATTCTTGCTCCATCTTTTTAATGCCAACTCTTCTGGAATCGTTGGTATGTTCTCTTCTTTCAATAAATATAGAATATGGGAACATGGGATGCCCATGTATGCAAGTTTAGCACAACTGCACTCCATTTCCTTGGTTTCAACATCATATCGGACAGTGAACTTCTTCTGTTTCCCAAACAAGCTTACATCATAATTGTGCACACTTCCATCTACCACATGATTACTCTTGATACAACCCTCCACCAATCCTAACTCCTTTTGAAACTTGCGGAATATCTTGTTAGTGAATATCTTTGCACCGCTTTCTTCAAGTGTGCGCAATGCCGGATGTTTCATTTCCGGGACACCATGGTTAGATTGAAAATCCAATTTGACCTCATTTTCCCTCAACTCTCCAATCCATCGATCAAAATGGATAAAAAACTCAAGCAAATTGTGGTTCTCGGTTACATACCTTCCAAGATGTGAGTTGATTCCTTCACATCTAGAGGTTGTTGACAACCCTGCAAAGAAGTAAGATCGAAGGTATGTGTATGCCCATTCCCCTCGTCTATCAAATAAATCGGAGACCCATTGACAATCTTCCAGTTTGTGACTTGAGACCAATTCCGCCCATTTTTCTTCAAATTCAGCCGGTTTAAGATCAACATATACAAACTTCTTCCATTCAGGCTCAAATGCTCTATTATTCTTTAGACGACTCACAATGTTCTTGGCGATATGCCATGAACACAGTCGATGAGTTGCAGCAGGAAACACTTTCTGTATGGCATTCCTCATCGCTTTGTCACCATCTGTTACAATCGTCCGAGGTTCTTTGTCTCCCATTGCTTTCTTCAACTTCCCTAGAACCCAATCATAACTCTTTTCTGTCTCGTTAGCCAATAAAGCACATCCAAATATACAGCTCTTACGATGGTGATTGATACCTAAAAAGTGATACTAAAGTCATGCATAGCTAAATAGAAGATAGAGTTGCATATCAAAGAGGAGTGATGGAACAACTTTGATTCGAAAAAGGTTGGTTACGTACCTGAGAAAACAACTAGCGGCATGTTGTAAATGTTTTTCTTGTATGTGGTGTCAAAAGCTAGCAAATCCCCAAAGCATGACATATCGGCTACGCTTATGCTGTCCGCCCAGAACACACTACAAAGCCTCTTCTCTTCATCGAAAGTGGGTTCGAGGATGAACTGATTGTCTATGCTCATTTTTTACTTTAGATACGCTAGTGCAGTAGCAGCATCGCCTTCACTGATCCTATCTTGTCGAGCTTTAGATGCAAAATTATGCAAATCCTTTTTCGTATGTCCTACTTTGTCGTACCCTCCAGATTTCTTAACATGCTGATTCATGATATCAGCAATTTTCATGTCCGCATCTCGTTGGTATCGAACTTCAGCTTTTGTAGCTTCATCTAAACCTCTATGTGATCGCATATGATGCACCAGTTGTGGACAAACTGGATCATGGGTGTGGTTTACATCAAAAGCATCAATAGCATATTTAGAATCTAACCTGTCCAAGGCAACATAGATGAATTCAGTCACTAGGAAGTATGAGTATGAATGTCAGGATACTGCATTGTCACAAACAACATCACAAATCTAGTTAGATTTATCAAATTGTGAATGGAAAGAACTTGTCTAACCTGTCCAAGCGAACACGCATGAAAGCTTGACACTGAAATCGAGTGTTCACGCGTGCAGTTAGCTTCAGTTCCTTTACTCGTTTGCGTTTTGTTCCCGCAGCTGAACAAACAAATTTTTGAGAAGTTATTTCCCCCTTTTTGGTTTCAGTTTTCCTCTCAGTTCTCACAGAGAAGCCCCAAGCTCTTGCATACGTGTTATAGAAATTGTAAGCATCGTCAATGGTATTGAATTTCCGACCGATGACATCCTCTGCTGTAAGGTTGGCCAAAATTTCCAATGCTTCTCCGTTCAAAGGGACTTCGTCATGCTGAATTCCGGATGCAACTTCAGTCTCCTCTTCATCTCCACTCGAAGGGGTTTCTGACTCCAAAATATTGGTATCAATTGCCGGAGTTATAGTCCCTTCTCTCTCGGCATTCAAATCAGCGCTATGCTGGGGTTGAGCGGCAGCCTCTGCCTCTGTGGTTCGATCCTCTTCTCTCTCACTATTGAAACCAACACTTGTGCTAGGGTGATTCCCATCCTTGTCCATGTGGGCAGCTGTTCTGAGTTGCGTCGATGCTGTGTACAATACACCAGTTCGCCAGTTCCAGTGTTCTGTGCGTACATGTACAGAAGCAACTGATTGTGGGGGACTTCGTGAGGGAAACGCTAACCCAAATTAACTCCTCCAATTTTCTCTCTGCATACGTATTCCTCAGAATTCAAATCCGTAATTTTTTTAACTCGTTTTTCAAGGATGCAGTTCCATTTCGGTGCTGAGATGATAAGGGACTCTTTGGGAATATACTGTGTCATTCCTTATTTCCAGCGTGTGGGAGTTTTAGTTAGTTTGTCATAACGGGTCTCTTCAACAGATTTGCTACTTTATAGGAATGCAAATCGTAGGAGAGGGAACTTTAGTAGAGGTTTGGTGTTAGTCTCTTGTCCACGAGGAAAACATACAGGGGACCTCTTACCTCCCAAAATTGTTGTCAATTTGTATTCAATTTTTCAAATTCCAATTCGTGATTGTTACTCAATTGGCCTGGTAGGTTGGAGAGGTACGCTTTATATGAGAACTTCATAGTTGCTGGGAATTCAGCTTTATGATGTGTGCGGTAAATTCAACTTTTCTTTCTCATCTGTTTTGAACAATTGACTATTGTTGTTGTAGTCTGGGGCTAAGGACAGTAGTGTGAGAATGTAAATACTGTAAGGATTTTTTTTGTTTGTAGAAAGTCATCAGTTCATTGTAAGGGTTTTTAAACACCGTTAGCAAGGTGAAATAATTGCTAAATTATATGCCTTAGTTTTGCTGTTTGATTTCCTAGAATATCATGCTCACATATTTTCTGGTGATATGATAACCTCTCAGGGGTATGCGTGGGAAATAACGACTGTTGAAGGTGGATATGGTCTTAATGAGTTGTTAAGCAGTCGAAGGATAGTTTTGAATGGTGCGCACTCAAACTTCATAATCATCTGTTACATTTGATTTCTTTCCTCCTCCAACTTTAATCGTTTAATTCCTCCCTTGCAATCTATTTCTTAGGGATCGCAAATGGCATTGATGTTAACGAATGGAATCCATCGAGCGATAAACATTTAGAAGCCCATTATTCTGCTGATGATCTTTCTGGAAAGGTGGTATCTTCCCATTTTCTCTGTTAAGTAGTTGTCAAGAAAAAATGCCCTCTTACCAGTATTTTTTCCCAATATACAGGTTCAAAATAAGATTGCTTTGCAGAAGGAATTAGGTCTTCCTGTGAGACCTGAATGTCCCCTGGTAAAGTATCGATAAAGTTTGTGCTTTTTTTTGTTGGAAATTGAAGTTTTCTCTTCTGTTACTTGTTGAAATTTTTCACTTGCATTGTAGATTGGATTCATAGGGAGATTAGACTACCAAAAGGGCGTTGACCTTATTCGTTGGGGAATTCCTGAACTTCTGAATGATGATGTTCAATTCGTAAGTGAGTTCGTCTCTTGAGTTTATTCTACTCTATTGAGTACTAGTTGAATGATGATGTCCTTTGAAGCAACTGAAAAAAATAATCTCCATTTTGCATCAGGTTATGCTTGGGTCTGGAGCTAAAATGTATGAAGACTGGATGAGAGAAGCAGAGGCAGCTCATAAAGACAAATTCCGGGGTTGGGTTGGATTCAATGTTCCGATTTCCCACAGAATAACTGCAGGGTAATAATCTAAGCTTATCTCTGTGTTTCATAGACAAATTAGTTACTAGAAATGCTAGTTAGACTAATCATGGAGCTCGTGTGGAATTGTTACAGTTGCGACATACTGCTGATGCCCTCGAGATTTGAACCCTGCGGACTAAATCAGTTGTATGCAATGAGATATGGAACTATTCCAGTTGTTCATGGCACCGGAGGACTTCGAGTGAGTCATGTTCATATAAAGAAAGTAAAAGAAAGAACAGAAATGGTCTCTATGACTGTTATATGCTGTACTAAATAATGTGTTCATTGTTGTCTCAGGACACTGTGCAGACTTTCGATCCATATGCTAACGACGGTCAAGGTGATGGCACAGGGTACGTGTTTTCCCTTTTAGGCCTTGTGCCCCGGCTGATCTTTCAGCTCCTAATGTTGTTCGACGATTATCCTGACTAGTCCGATGTATTGACAGGTGGACATTTTCTCCATTAGCAGTAGACAGCATGTTATGGGTAAGTTGGTGTTTCTTACCATTCATGGAAACTGCTTCTAAAGCAAGCACCTTCGCCTACAGCCCTCCTGAACCCGGTTGGTCTGACTCTAACCATTATCTGTGAATGGTAATTGGTGCGCTTGCAGGCATTGAGAACTGCGATATCAACATACAGAGATCACAAAGAGTCGTGGGAAGGTATGATGAAGAGAGGCATGGAGAAGGACTACTCATGGGAGAATGCTGCTGTCCAGTACGAGCAGGTCTTCGAATGGGCCTTCATCGATCCCCCTTACTGTTAGAATACCAGAGGACTGCTACTTCAACCACCACAACAACAGCAACTACATCAAGCTAGCTTTCATCAGACAGAAGAACCTTCACAAGATCCTCTTTTGCTGGCCTAGCAGGCTTCCATTACTCAGCACTCCCTAGTGTTATTGCTATAGTTCTTATATCGTTTGTTAGATGGTAGGACCTGGTTTTAGCTGCACAATCTGATGTGATTGTGGGTTCCATTACCAGGTGATTCTATTTTAATCAAAGTTTTGTACGTGGGTTGTTAGCTTCCAGCTGTACACATTTGATTTTGATTGATTTTACTAGATAGAAAGATTGACAGATTGTTTGGTGGTCTTCACCATTTTCTTTGTGCTCTCCATCATTCCACCACTTCCACATGCCGGTTTCATTATATTTCCACCCTTTCCTTTGATGAACCATTCAAAGAAGAGGCCAATCAAGTAGGGGGCAATAAGCTTTCAGTAGCAGGCATAAATCGTTAAACAATCTAATTTTCATCCTCCGTAGATCTCTAAATGAACGTCAAAACCTTCTCATACACGGAATAAAATGTCAAAAGAACTAAAGTAAGAACTAGCAAGTTTTGTTCCTTCAGATAGAGTAAAGCTCATTTGTGTACTTATTATAAACGATATATTTGTTTTGAAAAATCGATTTGTACTTATATTTGAGAATTTGTTTAACAAAATGATTTGTTTGTTTGAGGTAACAAAATGGGAAGCCGTTAAACAGTTGGTTTGATCAAAACCCAAACCCCCATTTCCCATTCCCCCTGTCCCTCTCCCTTTCTTCCTCTCGATTCCATTTCTAGAGAGAGAGAGAATGGAAATTGAGGCTCATACAGTCATACAGGATCACCATATTTGCATTGGAGGGGAAGATTGAGGAAGCGGATGAAGTGTTTTTGGTTCTCTTCTCTTCCTCCCTGCTTCTGGTGAAAAACAAATCTAATAACAACTACTTGAGGTGTTTTTTTACTTAAGCCTTTTGATTTAAGCACTTCACACGGTGATCACAACAACTCTCATTTATTGCTCCAAATCAAACTAATATGATGTTTAATCATACAATGCTTGGTTCTGAAAGCAGAATGCTTTTCTTATATTGCTCAAATACTCCTCCAAGTCGATTTCTAGTTGGACAATATACCCATAAACCATTGAGAACTGCTGCCATCGCAGCTGCAAACAACAATAAAAAGCACAAATACAACACAGTGGTTCTACCAGCAAACAAAAATCAAATTTGGGAATTTCAATGCAGTAACGATCGTGGAGAAGAAAAGAAAATGTCACAAAAACAAAAACACCTAGCAGCAACTGCTCCAGTTCTTTGATTGTTTGGGAACAAACAAATAAAATCTTAGTGCCTTGCCATTCCCTAATTATTCAGGAGTCGCACTACTTTCCACACCGCCCTCCAAGGAATCACCTCCACTAACACTTTCCATGAGTACCTTCTGATGGAGAGCATCACGCTCCATATTCTCCATATTGTTCAACAAGTACAGAGCTAGACCCAGCCTCTCCTCTTCACTGTCAAACTGAAAAATGTAAATGAAGAAGCCATTAAAAAATGACCAAAATTGCGTCAATAACAATAATACCAAGATGAAGGGAATAAGCCACCTTCTTCTTCAGTCCCCGGGCACACTCATCCAAATGGCCACCACATGTCATCAACTTCAACACAAACAACCCACAGTCGAACCTGGCCCAAAAACATTTAAACCGAAAATTCAATCAAATAGCTTATTACAAACAAACCACCTAATGAGAAACTAGAAAGATAAACATACCCATTCTCTTGCCGCGGAGCATTGACCACCTCTACGATGGTGAAAGTGCAAAACATCGTGGCTTCGAATCTCCTCATGACTGCTTCAAAAAAGATCGAGTCCAGTTCCTTTGCCTACAGCAAGTACATAATATGTCAGCATATATACAAATTGAATACATAACATAGCCTTTTAGATGCCCAAGATGACTTACAATCAGTGTCACTTTTTCTCCCCTCTTAATTGGATCGACACAATTTGGAAGTGAGTCCCATATTTCAATCACCTCTTTCTTAAGGTCAAAAACAGAAAGAAAGAAGTGGCTACCCAGCAGCACCGGGACAAAAATCTGACATGTACACACATTACTTAAACCTCAACAAAAAATGCTATCCATCACGAAATTCTAAGAGGTTCCAGCATTTGCAACAGTTACCTTCTCACAATCATTGAAGTCCCCAGAGCAGTACACTGTTTTAATTCTTTTCTCAGGGTAAGCAAAAACGCGATCTCCGGTTGCACAGGCCACCTACAAGAATAGTCATATTAAATCGTAATAGTTACACAATCGATTCACTTTTTATGGATACCTAGATAATGTTCCAATTTTTATGTGCCTACCAGTCAGGTTCATAATGTCAATGTCACCTCTCGAACATAAGTGCTGAAAATACACTAGTGTGGTATGACTTTATTGCACAGAAGCAGCCATACAACTTTTAAAAGGAAACCTCAAAATTTGGTTTCTGGAATTTCAAGAAACATGGGCAACACATCTAGGATTGGGTGGCGCTAGAACTTTTCAATCCATAATTCATCACAAGAATGACAACATATCTGATTCCAGTTTCAGGTTCCACTCATGACAAGAAATTCACACTGAAAAAAAACAGCACAAAAATTATGGCCTAAAGTTCAAGTTTTTTTAATGACAGACGTCAAATTTAAGTGACTAGCCGAGATTTTCTAATAACAGCAAAAAATTTATGGCCTAAAGTTCAACAGATTTTAACAACCCTATACAATCATTCATAATGAAGACTCTTATAACCAAAAATAACTTTTAGCATACATTAGAGTTTGACATATATCCAATTACTACTTTTAAAGATATGCAAAATACTACCAAATACAACTTATGAACTTACAGCAAATGCCGGTGGTAAGAACCAATTCATAGGTTTTTCATTTTCCAACTCCGGCACCGTTAACAAGTCAACGCACATAATGATCACCTACACAAATAAAGAGTGTCAAAACACATATCATGTTACACAACTTTGCTCCTTTACTAAGCCATTTATAAAGTCAAGAATCAAGATAAGTTGTATACGAACCTGAGTAGACAATGGTATTTCCGACACTAATACCTTAAACTCTCCACGGGTTAGATGAAACCATGGAGATCTAACCAGCGCCTCACTACAACCAACAACAGACAATACAAATCATTTTTTAGTGCTTTTAACTTGCAGAAAATGAATTATGCTCAATTAATAACAATGTAACACAATTTTTTTATTACCTTTCATCCTTAAATGGATCAAAAACGTGGCTGATCAACCACTGATCCCTTTTTTATAGGGACTTTGTAGTGATGAAGGGGCCGATCACCTTTATTTTGGCATTAGTCCTCTCGGGATCTTTCCGGGTCCAAATAGGACTCCGCAACCTAATTGGAGACTTTCTAACCGCTTTCCCCTATCATTTAAGATATGTATTAAAACACTGATATCACATAAAGAAACAAAACAAAAGTCTGACTAGGGGTACCTTTCTCCTGCTGACTGTGCTTTTCGTCTCATGCTTACTCCTTGTTGCCAAGGAAAACGAGCTATCCGAGCTTAAGTTCACAACTTCGACTTTATCGTCATTCTTCTCCTTTCTGCCATTTTCAGAGTTCCCACCGAACTTCCCAATCAACAGGTCCCTAAACGACTGCAATGTTGTCCTCAAGTCGTTAATATCACCCTTCAACTCCCTTTTCATAGATAGCTGACCTTTTTCCAAGTCACTCATAAACGAATGCAGGCTCCTGATCTGCATAACAAAAACCCAGCCATTTAGGTACCCCAAATAAAAAATAACAAAAAAAAAAAAGGAATGCAGGACATTGTACGAATTTCGAAACTTTACCTCATTTGATTCGGCTGCTGTCTTGTCTAACCTGAAAACAACATTAAAAAAACAAAGCTTCAGCAGGGGCCATAAGACTCAGGAACAAAGGCCTCGGAAAACAACTCAAACTAACCCTTCCATGACACCGATCTTCCTTCTTTTGTTTTCTTCCCGAAAATACGAAGATTATTCCACTCGGATGAGTAGCTTATATAGGAAAAACGTGTTTAGAGTTCTGATGAAGGAAGGGGACTGTTACAAAATCTTTTTGTTGTGATTTGTATTTATTAGAAATAAAATTAAATAAACTAATAAGCTTCCTAGAAGGTAAATACTTCTTATCAAAACTCGTGGGTGGGAATCAAAATCCCTTTTTTTATTAAGTCTCCTAGTCTTCACAATTGTGATATATAAAACTGAAATACTTTAATCATTCTTTCCTGGCGTGAAAAGTGCAGGGAGCTACAATAAGGGAAAAGAAAAAAACCCAATCAGAAGCAACGCAAACAACAAGTTGTATGAAACACAAGGTACATGTGTTGCTTCAGTTTATTGATGGATCAACAGTGAAGACAGACCAGATTTGAGGAACGAAGGTTTAACAGGGCTTTAAGGTCGAATGGAAGCACAAGCTTTCTGAGACCAAGTCTCTTTACTTCTCAAATCCGACTCTTAAAGCTAAAAGAAACAGCTTCAGGTCGAATCAGAACAAATTGCCAAGACCCAAAACCATGCCTAGATGCACAGTCCCGTCATTTTGACCAAAATACGGATACCTACCTCAGTCTACGTTGATGCCATTTAATATGTTCCTAACAAGGCATCTACCTATATACATCCAACCTCTCTAGTCTCAACTATCAAACAAGTCAACAATCACCATAAGTATAGAGCTGCAACACTTTCAACAGTGTAATATGCTCCCATCTAGGCATCTACCTACATATATCCACCCTCTCACCTATGCATAAAACAAGTTATCAACCACCATACGAAAAGGAGTTTTAGAGTCAGAGCAGTTAGAGCAAGAGCACACAGCCTAGCAACATGTCACTTAACCAACCATTCAGACCATAAGTGATGATTAACAGTTCTTAACACATG